CTAAGACTAATCCTTCAGCAAAACTCAGTTACAGATAACACTTCATCAAGGAGTGATTCACCACGTCCAAGACTCAATGAAATCCAACACTACAGACTAAATACAACCAAATGATATCGACAAAGATAGAATTGACATGCCAATATGGAAAACCTATGCAAGCTATGACACGATACTCCGCAACACCATCCAGTAAAGCAAGCCCATCACTGCTAAATCATCATCAAGTAAAGCAAATGTCATATTCCTTAACAAAGTCTACCAGCAACCACTAGTCACAAAACAACCAATAATCACTCTTTAACTTGCCTTCACAAGACCTAACACTAACTCACGTCATCGAGTCATATACTTATCCAATATGAACATAATACCCCAGGTATGAGATAAAGATTCATGGACAAGCATAAACTAAATGACCACTCGAATCCAACTCAACCGCAATAAGTTCACCAACACATCTAATCAATAGCTCTGAGCATGCTTTGAAGAGGCTAGCTATGCATGATCAACACTCAACAAAAACTAAAGTAAAGACCATGAGATGAACTTATATCGGTACACAACCTCCTCATAAACAAAGTTATAGTACAGGTACCAACATCTCAATATTAAACAATTAAGTTGGACATCATTATCCTCAGCCAAGGCACAGAGCCACCAAGACTAAATCAGGATCAGTGAGAGCTCACTACTCTTATAGAGTCTAATAAAATGCAAAATGCAACCTGCCACCAAACATAATATTACAGAAGAAAGGCATAAGGGTCACCCTTCTTAGAAAAGTGCAACGGCCACTTTTCTACACCAACTCCAGACTCTATCCAACTCAATTGATTTAGCTTTAAAAGTTAGCATCCCTTTCAAGCCGCATCATACAAACTACATACTAATATCTAAGCTAATTGAAGTCAACTCCAACCCCTTCACTAGTTTGTATTAGCTTACGAAAATGGAATGGTTTTCAGGCAAAGTGATCAACAGATTAGCCATTGGAAAAGTCTAAGAAAATTTGTGGAAAAGATTCCATCCTAGAAAAAAAATGACTCTCAGTCTAGGAATGCAAACTTTCAAGACTCAACCAACTTCCTCTTATTAACAACTTCATATAGGTTCACCTCAACACTAATTCTTATGACCCATAGTATGTTTAAGTAGCGAACATCTTTGCCCATATTTTCGATATCCAACACTGATATCCGCAAAATGCAAAGTGAATCCAAGGCTTGATCACAAAGACCACATCTTTGAATATCCACATTGCACTAACACTCTTCTTCAATCACCTTCAAAATCCAATGTGAAGCCAAAACACTAATAAGAAAAATGACTTGAAAAATCAAAGTTTAAGGAAAATTCCTCATCACTCGAAATAACAATGCCACTTCCACCAATATAAGTGTTAGTGATATCAATGCCCTAACTACACATTTTCTCCATCCAACAATTTACTCCAAGTGCTAACGGATCAATCAACAAGCCATAGCAAGTGAATGCTATAACTCTTTCCAACACCTTAATGGGCAAACTCAAGGAAACAAGATACCAGCTTAAACTTAGCATAATAAACCACCATCGAGAATCCAGTCAAAGCTATTACAATGCTACTTCATGCAAGTATACTAGTTTCACCATCAACCACTTTGGGGTTGATCATCATTTAACCAAGCAATCTCATAAACACATTGTTTATTATCAAATGGATATGATATAAGTATGTATCACAATGACTTGATCATCCATTGAGCAACACTATGAGCAATGCCCATGTCATTACTTCAAATGTTTATATAAATATCAAATGCCAACTCGATTTGATAAAATGCAACATAAATGCCACACTCCACCAATAGAAATTTACAACACCCAACACCACTAACTTTTGTTCACAACATGAACAAGCTCATGTCACTCTCTTTCGAACCAAACTCAAAACTAATCTAACACCAAGTTACTCAAGGAGCAATAGCAAAATTCTTTGGAAAAGAATTGAGCATTGCAACCCAAGTCTTCCAATAGCAAGCCTAGACAAAAATGGTTTAGCGCTTCACCACTATCCATTTCAATATTCACCACTTGTAAGACCATCACTTCCAACATGCATCAAAGTAGGGACTCTTGATTGCATAATGTGAACATGGGCAATGAGTCACACCTCGTTGCAAATCATCTCTCCAAGAGGAGAAAATAATTTACGTGTTTGATCTTTCATCCATGATAATTCTCTTTTTGGTCTCATCTTTGACTAAACCTCAAGTTTGCTTTGGCACTGCCTTCAGTCCAATCCAAGAAAAAGTTTATGAGAGAGCATGGCAATAACTACTTGAACCAATAAACTAATCCCTACAGTCTTGATTGATCTACTCGTAATCATGCCTAGGAAGGTCCACTAGTGCCATGCTAAACAACTACGGACCAACCTATTTGCCACTCATAGCAAACCCAGGGAAGGTTTACTTTCACCCGTGGTACAAAGAACAACTCATGAAACCACTGATAGGTTAACATTAATCCTGCCAACTCAAAGTGTAATTTTGAGTTGCTAATGTGCCTCACTCATGAGCCCAAGCGCAAAAAGGTACTACAGTACAAAAAGGTAACCAAAATGTCAGGCATCTGATATGTTGGGTGTCTACCCCAGATATGTCAAGCACCGGATTGTAAGTGACTAATTTTTCCATTCTACTTTAATCACTTAACCACACCTCCGACCACTTGGAGGAATCTTATTCATAACCTCTTTAAATCCAATTTAGGACTTGGGACTTTGTAGCGCACCCTATCTCTCTCCCTTAAGCCAACTGAAAAAGGGGCAATTTCTTGATGAGAGAGCCTTTAGTGGCTATTTTATCCCTATTTATCCCCCAAGGTTCCAAGGATCCACAGTGACAGTATATTTAAATCTCATCCCATGATCACATGCGCTACAGACTTGTTAGCCCTGAGAATGACATCCATGCCACTCATCCCTTGCACTTAGTCCAAGTGCTCCACGTGCTCGGTCCCAAGACCGACACCCCAACGTACCACCGACATATTAGCCCGTTATGCTAAGGCCATGCCCCTTCACTTTGGTCACATTGGTGGTCCAACACCACCTGCATTGCAGTCCCGTCTCTCAAGGATTGGGCCATCCATCCAGGAGTGACCATCCAAGATCCACTCTTTAGCATCTCTAAGATGCCTGCAAACATGGGGAACAACCTTCCCCAATATCCCTTTTACAGTCCTCACCAAGTCCCTTTTCTGCCCATGGCCATGTTCACTAACACTGCCACTGGGATAGGGCCCATAGGCCCGACCACTAAGTCCCACTGTCCTTTGGAACTTCCTCACCACATGACTGTATCATTGGTCACTACACCAGAGGACCACTCCTCTTCCTTTCCATAGTCTGGGACTTTGGGACAACATTTCTGTCGCTTCGTGGTTTTGACCCTTTATCCTATGGTGATTTACCATAGGATAACCATGAAGTGGAACCTAAACCCTCTTTGTGCCATGTGACATATGCCATGTGTCCATAGGACAGTGGTGTGGAACCCAAGGTTCAGGGCCCTGGGACACTGAACAAAGGAACGGTGCCAAACCCCCAAACATGGAGCCAAGGAGTGTTGGAACCAGACCACAGAGCAACTCTTGAGCATACAGCCCAAGGAGTAAAGGGACAGGAGCCCGGAGCGACTTGGAACAGTCCTAGAGCAACCAGTATCCTAATGCCAGGACCAGCACGCAAAATGGAGCTAAACGGAGTCTAGTGCTATTTCGGCATATTGGTGACCTAATATGAGGATATAGGTACTCCACCAGCTAGCATGGAATGGAACTTGGGCTTAGACCCAAGCTAGACGCAGAACAAGGATAGGCACGCAAGCGAGAGTTAAACTATGCCTCAGGTTTTGAGGAACACATACTTTGGGCTTTCACCCCAAGCCTCCCTTAGTACCAAGAGTTAGTCTTTGGGACAAGCTTGAAACTTACTAAATATAGAATGGTGCTAAAATGTGAATTTGGACACGGGACGAATACTATTGTGTACAAGCCAATCTTTACATTCCGTAGATATGCCAAATGAGCAAATCTAGACACTTTCCATAAATAGCATTTGGGACCGGAATGAGATTAACACAAAGGGCATGATAGTGAGGGTGTTTGGCAAACACGGTAAACTATCATTTAGCGAATATTGAGGGACCAAGTTTAATATCACGGGGGTTCCCAACACTAGCAAGTGCAAGTCAACGAATGAGTTTCTTTAACCAAGTCAAGTATGTTTGACTAAATAAATATTTAGGAATTCTTTCCTTATGCTCATCTGGCCAAGTGCACACACGAGGACTAGTTTCTTAACTAGCTTAGGCAGAGATTAATAATAGATCTAGCAATACCAACCTTCTGCCATCGTGGCAATAAGGAAAGAGTGTCCGAAAAGACTGGCTGATGGATAATTTTCGATGCCCGAAGTCACATTCGTGACAGTAATGCATTCTTTTGATCTTTTTAGTATGTTAATCATTTTCCACACTTATACTTTTTTCTAAATTTTTTAATTACTTTTTAATAATTTTAGATTTTTACATTTATTTTCAAAAAAAAACTAATTACAAAATTTTGAGGAGACAAAGTTGTAGATGCTAGGGAATTCTTAGACACTCTAACCTACCCATTTCAGACACTTGATATAACACACATAGAAGAGTAAATAGTTTAAAAATGATAAAGAAAAATAAAAACATAAAACATAATAAGGCAAAGAAAAAGAATAAAAAAAAGAATAACATATCTTGATGAAATCATTACCTCATTATCAAAGTTATTAAACTACAAAATTCACTCAAGCTCATAGACATTATTTTCCTATAGTGTAATGCCATTTTATTCTTCTGTAACATAACTCTACCATTATATTACATATTTTATGTTTTAGCACCCAAATAGAAATATAAAATTGAACAAAGGAAATTTTCTTTTTGTTTTTGTAGTGTTTGATATAAAGAGTGATTGATAATAACTGATTTAAAAGTTATGGATAAACCAGTCTAAAGGATCAAATTGAGCTAACACAATCACACATCATAGCATATCTAAAATCTCTTATACATCAACAACATTCCTAAACAAGGACAATGTTGATAACTCTAAAAATACACACTTCTATTCTGTTCGTGAGTTAAGAAATATCTAGTCTACAATGTGCTATTGCTTAGAAATCAGCTCTACAGGAAGCTCATCAACACTCACTTGCTCTCCCCAACCAAGCTCAAAGTTTACGATGGAATCCGTCGCGAGGAGCAGTGCCGTCTCGCTCGATCTCTCAGTTACGAGCGAGGGAATCCGGTCCTCCTGCGGCAAAAGCTCCACAACATGAACATGAACGTGATAACTTACATGCTATTCGGGAAGCGCTTCTGTGGACACCACAAGAACACTGCGAATGTCGACGAGTTCGTGCAAGCGATCGTGGAGACGGTTAGGCTGGCTGGAGTTTTCAATGTGAGCGATTACATCCCTGGAATTCGCTGGCTGGACGTCCAAGGCCTGGAGAAGAAATACAAGCAGCTCATGGACCGGATAAACAGGCACCTCTTGTCGATCTTACGAGACCGGCAAGAGGATCCTCCGGTTTTCACCAGCGACGAGCCCATGGCTTTCATCGACGTGCTCATCTCGATGGGAGAGAAGCTCTCAAACACGACCAAAATCACACTTCTGCTCGTAAGTTTCTCTTGGTCAAAGTTGTTCTTCTTTAACGCTGGATGAATCCCACAGGACATTTTGCTGGGTGCTGTGGATACTTCGGCTCTCTCGCTGGAATGGGCCATGGCCGAGCTTCTCCGGCATCCAGCCGAATTCTCGAGAGCTCGGAGCCAGATTGATGCAATTGTCGGCAAAGAAAAGCTTGTGGACGAGTCGGACATCGCAAAGCTTCCATACGTCGAGGCCATAGCCAAGGAAACAATGAGGCTCCGGTCAGTGGCTCCGCTAGCTCTTCCCAAGATCGTCCAAGGAGGCCCAATCGAGCTCGATGGCTACACCCTCCTGGACGGGACTGTGATCTACATCAGTAGCTACTCGATCGGTCTGGACGAGAGGTTTTGGAAAGATCCTCTTGAGTTTCGGCCGCAGCGTTTCATCGACTTGCCAGACATCGATGTCTTTGGCCAAAATTTCAACTTACTTCCGTTTGGAACAGGGAGGAGAGTTTGTCCCGGTGCAAAGCTTGGATTTGATGCTGTCCAGATGGGTATTGCAACGCTCGTTCAAGGATTTGACTGGAAGCTGGATGGAGATCTTGATGATCCGGCAAAGCTGAACATGGATCAAACATTTGGACTGGTTTGTCAAAAGAGTCAACCTCTTGTGGCTATCCCAATCCCGAGGCTGGATTCTCACGTTTACTAGAAACATTAGCTCATACCAGCTTGTTTCTTCCATAAAGTTTGCTTCCTCTCCAGGAAACTATCATAATTTCGGGTGTGACGCTCGAAGAACTATCATGATTCAACCATTTGGTTTTCTAGCCTTTTAATGATACAACTGATCAATATAACAATGTATCAATTCATGTGGAAGAAAAGTAATCTAAAAACGTCTATCCAGGATCAGTTGTGGAGGTAAGAGTTTATCCTAGTTTAGATGGTGGATGTGGAAATAGATATTTTCTAGAAATGGTGGAAGTGGATATAGAAAGATATTGCATGAAATGGTCACCTCCCAAATAGGCGACCAAAGAAACTCGTGGAAGAGTTTGATTCCAAGCACTACCGCCCGAGCTTATCTTTGGAGCGTGGCTCTTTCGATGTGTCCTTGCCACAAACTTTGCATCGCTTGTCCACCCATCCAGTTTCAACGTACGCACCCTTCACTGATTGATCACGCAATACCTTGGCATGAGGACGAAAATGAAAAGACCCGAGGAGAAAAAAACACTCAAATAAGAAAGGGACTTGTAAATACCATCGATTGATTCTTTGAAGAAATCCTTGTAGGTGCCACCGATCTTCCGCCTCAGAGCTGCGTACTGCAAAAGTCAAGAAGGGAGAGATGAGAAATTCGCACGCATTGGATGTTTTTTCTCAAAGATGTTTTTTCGTACTTGCTCTCGGGACATTTTCTCGCCCGACTTTGTAGCCTGACGAGCCTCGTCGATCAAATCAGCGTCCCTCTCCGACCTTGCCTGAGAGAAATCCAGCGCGTCGGTGATGCTAGTCAGAAGCGATGTCTTCTCCTGCTTCTGTTCACTCCCCTCGCCGGGAGGAGTTTCATCCTTTCTATCCTGTGCCAGAAGAAACATACTAACTTTTTTGTGGGGGCTGTGATTAACTTCCCACTGCTGCTGCTTGATCGATCTGCCAAGAAAACTCCCCTTTGTTGCTGCAACCGAAGCTGCCGCCATTAGCAACAAGAAAAAACGAAAAAAGAAGATGACCAACTTTGAAAGAATCGGACTGGCTTAACATAATAATAAAAAAGATATAGATAAAATACATTAACATAACAAATAACCACAAATATTAGAATATTCATGCATCCTGGGAATATCTATTCCACATAGATGTATATATTGAATCGAAAACGTGTAATTGTTTTTTAAGTTATCATCTCCATTTTATTAATTAAACAAATTTATTGATTGATTGATAGTTTGCACATACAGCCAAGAAAGGAGCCGTGATCAGGAGGAAGACAAGATGCAGCTTAAGTTTACACATACAGCCAGGAAGGGAGCCGTGCTCAGGCGGAAGACATGATGTGACTTAACTTGCATTTGCATCCAGTTTCATGCTTGACTACACAACTATCAAAACAATATATAGATAGATAGCATGATTTGGAGTGTCTTAAGCATGCTAGAGTTGGGGCTTTGGAAATGCCTCAATATCGATATCAATGTCCAACATTTTACTTCTTGAAAGCAAAATTGTCTTTGTGCTCAAAGTGGTGAAGTTTTATGGAAATGATAATTAAAATCAACTTGCAATGATGGTGGGTGGGTTGGTAGAAAAAAATTTGCCCATGAGGAACTTTATAAATTAGTTGGCAGATATGAAAGAATCAATAATCCCATATGATAAATAGATCCATGGTTTGCAGCAAACTTGTTAGGTGCTAGAATCATACAAGTTGGTCAGGAGCACTGATGCTGGATTTGCATGACGATTATTATTAACACTATTTAGAGTGTTAAAATTTTAAGAATGTAAGAAGAATTTTTATTTTAAGTTGTTCTGAGCTTAAGCAGTGGAAATGCTAGCTAAGCTCAGTACATTTTTTTCATTGTCCTGAGCTAAAGCTGGGGTGTTAGCTAAAGTTTGGTTTTCTACAGCAACAACTATGTTGTTTTTTAGGGCTGTAAATGCAGGAATAATAAAACATTATTATTATTTTATAATTTACACCAACAATTTCCTTCTCATTCCATCTGGATAATTTATTTTTTCTGAGTTCCTGGCAGTGTCATGAGGACAAGGTATGGTAAATTTGGTCTATATGTTTATTTTTTTGACAAAGATACTTTTACAATAACTTTTCTTTTTAAGTAAAATAGAATAGAGCAGAAAAGTACAGCAAACTTTTTCCTTTGAGATGATAGCTGGTTTTGAATTTTGATTTAGAAGACATTGTTCTTAAATTACTCACGGCACTTTAGAACCAACATCCAGCTCCAAGTTATTATAGGAAGTTACAAGACAATCGTCTATGCCATATCACACCCATAGTCGGCATTCTTGAAATTGCGCTGGAGCACACACTCCTCAAAGTCCCCAGCATCGTTTCTGAACTGGAGCCTCAGAGGCTCGATCCGCCAGTCGATGCTCAGCCTCCCGCCCTTGCAAACTTCCTTAAACTCCTGGAACTTCTTCGAGTTCCCGCAGTGCACGGGAGTGGTCTGGCCTCCCGTGCAGCCGTGAACTCCCTCCACCGATATCCCACACACTGGAATCTGGCACGAGCTCCTCCCACACCCGCTCGATAGCTCCCCATCCTTGAGCAAAACGGTGCCTGCATCCGAGCAGCCAAGCAGCAACGCCAGGATCCACAAGCAGGTCATCACCTTCATCGTCCTCATCATTCTAAGTTTTGATTGGATCTTAGAATGTTGTTTGTTATGATAAGCTGGAATGGAATCGTTGGAATTTATAGGCAAAAGCGTCCTTACATTTCACAACGCGTGGTCCTTGACGTGACTGACCTCTCTTAACTACACGTTGAGACGCTAATAGACCAAAATGGTGTGCAGTCTTGCTTGACTTCGCTATAACGGACGAGGCCTTTTTGCAACGTGGTGAGATGACGTTTTTGACCACATTAGAACGAGTATTAGCGACTGAAAGTTCTAATCGTTCGAAATCCTTGTCTAAGTTCTCCGTGGCGAGGAATCGTGGCCTCCAAGAACTAGCATCAAGACGTTATGGTGTTAACTTTCAAGCCTGTTGACCTTAATTGACTAAGACCATTGACTAAAATTTACTTAACAATTAAATAATATTTACCTTGGATGATTACCGTATAAGCCCTAATATCCTTCTAGGGCATTGCAACTAAAATTCCTCTGGCGCGATGCTCGACTTCGCGATCCGCTATGCGTTGGCCATCGCGCTGGTCTTCTCCTGCATAGCTCTCGGTAATTCGCCATTACATTTGGATCGATCCATTACCCCAATCTCTTTCAGGATGGTTCGTGGCGTGGAAGCTGCTGCTCGTTCACATTCCTCTTGTCCAAGAGATTTGCGGCTTGCGGAAGAAACCTAAGAAGCCCGTTCTCAGGGCCAGCGCTCCATTCCCGGACAGGTAACGCGAAATTTCGATCAATACCAGCTCGCTCCAATCCTTGAGATTCGCCAGGGTGAAATCGCAGTGATTCTTAGGGTTTATCAGAGCAGGGTTTCCAGGGAGCAGCGGCAGCGGCAATGTTCTCGTCCACGGCGTCTTCGATCTCCAAAATGTCCGCTCTCGTCAGCGGCGTCGGCACGGATGCTGCGATCTACGACGATCCCCAGGACGCGGACATTCCTACGCTGCTCGACAGTCGCTACGACGCGGACAAAGCCCAGGGATTGAAGCGCCTCATCGCGCTCATGGCACAGGGACAGGACGTTTCCACATTCTTCCCACAGGTAAATTTCTCTTCTTCATAGATGATTAGCTTCTTCTATCGTCCCTTCCTTCACAAATTCCTTCTTTTTTTCACAGGTTGTCAAGGGCGTTGCTTCACAGTCTCTGGAAGTGAAGAAGCTCGTTTACATCTACCTCGTCCACTACGCTGATAAGTAATGCTAGAACTTCTCCAGTTTCCAGGAAAAAAAATTCTCCAACGCGATACATCTTTCTTCTTCTTTGTAGACGACCAGACGAGGCGTTGCTTTCTATCAACAGTTTCCAAAGAGATTTATCCGATATCAATCCCCTGGTTCGTGCTTGGGCCTTGCGAGCGATGTCCGGGATCAAGGTCCGTGCAGTTGGCCCTCTCGTTATCATGGCTGCAAACAAGTGCGCCAGAGATCCCTCTCCTTACGTTCGGAGGTGTGCTGCGAATGCGGTTTCCAAGATTCATTCCATGGGTGACGAACAACATTTCGACGAGCTTGTACAGGTACGGTTGTTTCCAGTTCGTTGTCTGTTGGATTAGTAACAGGATCTTTTTCAGCTTGTGTCCATCTTGCTGAACGACAATTATCCGGGCGTAGCTGGAGCCGCAGCGCAGGCTTTTATCTCTGTTTGCCCGGAGCGTTATTCCTTATTGAGCTCCAGCTTCAGGAAGCTGTGTGGACTACTTTACGAGGCTGATGAATGGGGACAGATTTCTCTTATGGACATCCTGATGCGGTATATCGTGGCAAAGTATGGCGTTGTTAGAGATTTCAGCTCCGCGAACGTAGAATTCTCATGTTTACAGCAAGCACACGAAGAAAATGGTGGCGACTTTTACAAAGCTGACACGAGATCCTCGTTTCCGGATGAGAGGTGGGAAGTGAGGCTCATGCTATCGTCTACGCTTTCTCTGCTACGGAGCCAAAATAGTGCGGTCGTATTACAGGCGGCAGTCATCCATTGGTATTTTTCTCCGGGCAATGAACTCAGCAACATTGTCAAGCCATTACTGTTTTTACTTCGTTCGTCGCTTGATGCACGGCATGTGGTGAGCATTTGGCAGTTACTTCAGCTTTTGATCTAAGCCTTCTGTTTCAGGTGCTTGCAAATATACTTTCTTTCTCGAAGTGTGAGCCAAGTTTGTTCGAGGCATATTTTGAAGATTTTTTCATATGTTCTTCTGACTCTCAAGCTATTCAAACTCTGAAGCTGGACATACTAACAAACATAGTGTCAGATTTCTCCGCCACGCAAATTCTTCAAGAATTGGAGGTAAGCAAGACAAATGTTTTCCTTTGCTTACTTGCTACTTCATCACAGGCCTATATACGAAACCCAAACTCTCAGCTGGCAGCAGACGCAGTAAACTCGATTGGCCGGTGTGCGCTTCGACTGTCTTCCACAGTGGCTATATGCACCAAGGGTCTTCTCAAGCTAGTCGTTTCTCGGTCTTCCCGTGACGACGATTCGCTCCACAATGCAAATGATGCTGAACCAAAGGTTGGAGACTCTGGACGTATAGTCCGGGGAGGGGAAGAGTGGTGGTTCAAGCGGTTTCGTCGCTAAGAGCTATTATGCAGAAGCACCCAGCAGAGCAGGACCAGGTTTCTTTATGTTGTTGTGTAAGTGCTGGAGTACTGAACTTTAATCTTGTCTTGCAGGTAATCCTTCATCTTTTACGCAACTTAAACCACATTTTAGAGCCAACGGCACGTGAAGTTGTCATTTGGATGATTGGTGAACAAGCGATTGCTCGTCCTGCACTTGCTGAAGGAATCCCTGTGGCCCTGCGGTATCTAGCCAAAACGTTTGCAGACGAGTCTAATGGAACTAAGCTTCAAGTTTTGAACTGCCTTGCGAAGGTAAGCTTCTTTGCTGCTGATCTCTATCTTACAGAAAAAATAATCCAGATCATTTCATCTTCTCAACGGTGCTCGTCTTTGAAAACTGTCCTGTTAATTCTTCAGTATATTCTGGATCTTGCCGCCTGTGATTTAAACTATGACGTACGAGATCGAGCCTGGATTTTACGAGTTGTCTTGGCTGGCCATTTAGACGCTATCAAGCACCATTCGTCATATGACGCAGATTATCGTCTTCCGGAGATTATCGATGCTATTTTACTCAACATTGATCAGTCAAAACTTGATCCAGGTGTACTATCCAAAGCTGCCAACTCCATGTTTCTTCGCCAGAAGTCGGTACCAGTATTACCTTCGTTGAGTTTACAGACGTCCACATTCCTACCAGGATCGATGTCTCATATGGTTCAACACATGTCAGTGAACTGTGGGTGCTCTTGAGTTATCTAATTGTCCTCTTGAAGGCTGGTGCAGTGATTCCATCTCTTGTGAATTTTCTTAAGCACACCGATTATAGCACTGCCTTATTTCCTGCCAAACCTAAAAACTTTATTTAGATTGCCATGTGTGCAACCGGATTGACCCAGAGGATCCCGGGCCCAGAATCAGGGCCCAGGGTGCTCCCAGGTCAACCCAGACAGATTCCAAGCCCAAAAAGGTGCATATAACATCCCCCCACATATAACGCCGCTCCTAGACACCACACTGCTATAACAGTTTCCTTTAAACCTTAGAATTTAAGTGAGTGACAAAATTTTTTGGCTCTTTAATCTAATAAATTATTAAACTCTTTAACCAAGAGTTACTTATTAATAGTTATACTTGTTATTACTTCATAAATAATGTTATCCAAATTCACTCTATTATTAAAATTAAACTCTTATTTATTCATTTTATCCTTTATAGGATTGAAAAATAAATTGAAACATTGAGGTAAGAAAAATAATTACATAGTATTGAAATTTTTAAAATTATTATAAAGGTGATTAAATGTTTCAATTGTAAAAAAAAAATGGTAAAAATGATGGAAAGTTTGAATATTATTATTTTATAAAAACCAACTTCATTTTAGCAAAAATTAAGTAATGTTAGCTATGTTGTCAAATGTTATATATTACTAGCTTTTTATATATTTTTTTGGGATCTTTTTTGACTCTTGAAGAACTAAGCAATGACATATCATTTAACTATTTACCTCCATTGAATGGAAGTGTTAAATTTTTAAATTCAAGTAATGAGGATAAAGTAAGTAAGTAATTGTAGCACACGTGGTTTTGACCCTTTATCCTATGGTGATTTATTATAGGATAACCACGAAGCGGAACTTAAACCCTCTTTGTGCTACGTGATATATGCCACATGTCACATACCACGTGTCCATAGGACAGTGGTGTGGAACCCGAGGTTCAGAGCCTTGGGCCACTGAACAAAGGAACAATGTCAAACCCCTAAGCATGGAGCCAAGGAGTGTTGGAACCGGACCACGGAGCAACTCTCGAGCATACAGCCCAAGGAGCAAAGGGACAGGAGCCCGGAGCGACTTGGAACAATCCTAGAGCAACCAATATCCCAATGCCATGACCAGCACGCAAAATGGAGCTAAACGGAGCCTGGTGCTATTTTGGCATACCGGTAACCTAATGTCAGGATATGGGTACTCTACCAGCTAGCATGGAATGAAACTTGGGCTTAGACCCAAGCCGGACGCAGAACAAGGACAGGCATGCAAGCGGGAGCTAGACTATGCCTCAGGTTAGTCAGCCATGCACAACCTTCCCACTATCCCTACATTTGGGACCCCCCCCCCCCCCCCCCCCCCTAAGGAACACACACTTTGGGCTTTCACCCCAAGCCTCCCTTAGTACCAAGAGTTAGTCTCTGGGACAAACTTGAAATTTACTAAATATGGAATGGCGCTAAAATGTGAATTTGGACACTGGACGAACACTATTGTGTGCAAGCCAATATCTACATTCCGTAGATATGCCAAATGAGCAAATCTAGACACTTTCCATAAATAGCATTTGGGACTAGAATGAGATTAACACAAAGGGCATGATAGCGAGGGTGTTTGGTAGACACAATAAGCTATCATCTAGTGAATATTGAGGGACCAAATTTAATATTATGGGGGTTCCCAACACTAGCAAGTGCAAGTCAACGAATGAGTTTCTCTAACCAGGTCAAGTATGCTTGACTAAATAAACATTTAGGAATTCCTTCTTTATGCTCATTTGGTCAAGTGCACACGTGAGGATCAGTTTCTCAACTAGCATAAGGGGAGACCAATAACAAGTCCAGCAATACCGACCTCTTGCCATCGTGGCAGTAAGGAAAGAGTGTCTGAAAGGACTGGCCAACAGATAACTTTTGATACCCGAAGTCACATTCGCGACACTCTCCCCCCCTTAGGAAGATTGATGTCCTTATCGATGCATACTCTAGTCTAGAATACCGCCAAGGAAACAACTCCAGAAAAAGTTCACGGTATTCACACTATGTGAGAAATGCACCAACTTAAGTGAATTAGGTAACCTCTTTGTCTAACGCAGATGCACTACCAACTCAGACACCTTCTGGCCGTCGCCGACAAGGAAATGACCAATGGAGTTAGCCACCCTTGTTGCGCTGGGTGTCACTCAGCTTACAAAAGTGTGATATGCCCCTACCCGCAAGGACATAGAGAGAGAAGCTAGAGGCCCCAACCCTCATGAGCAAAGAAACCAAACCCGTCGGTAAGGTTTAGATAGACTACTATAAACAGGTAGTTAGAGTTGTTTACACGGTCACGCCCTTTTAACGGAATAAAGAACATTGACAAAGAGGCGGGTTATGTAACCAGTCGACAGTAGCTACCCCATGACTAAAGATTTCAACATGCACACGAAGTGCCGAAGCCAGTCTGCCTATACTGGCCCAAACTCAAAGATCAATAGATGGACAATATCAAAGTCATAGACAATGATATCTTAGAGACTTAATTATCAATGAATATATTTTAGATTAGAACACAAAAGTATTCCAAGTAAGTTATTATCTGATAAACCAGTATTATAGGATAGGAACCACCAAAATCACTATTATTGGAAAAATATAGGATTCACCATCCATTAAAATTCAATAGCAAGTATATCATCAAGTAAACTCAATGATGAAACTTAACTACCAAAGATAATAGACAGTAAGCCAAACAACTTACTAAAGATAACTTAAAGAACATAAAGTATTATTGGTTGATAAGCACAATGCTCACGAATGGATTACCCAAAGGAAATAACATCCCAATCTATCAGAACTAACTCAAGCAATGATCAATAGAACAGAATAAATGTGGTAAGACCAACAAACACTTAGTTATGTTAACCATCGCACCAGCCAATTTGAATAGATCCTGGTCAACAATACAAAGGAATTTAAGTTGCCTAAGCAAGTGTTAGCAACATCATGTTGATGTCTAAAACCCAAGAGACCAATCCAAAGCAAACCACAAAGAACATGTAGTATTGCAAAAAGCCATAAGCCATCAAAGAGAACAACTAACCATAAAAAAAGATCATTAATCATACCATCAATAGAGAGATGCATAATCATCATTGAAGAAAGAATCCACCATCTTGAATAACGGCAAACCATTCTATATCAATAATAATCAAGCAAAACCTTTGACAAGAATAATCAACTATCCTAGATGATAGTCAATCATCACCAATGAGTGCTAGATGTAAATACTAACTTCAACATCGAAGCTAGGAGCCAAAATGCCTTCCCCAACAACTTTTAACAAATGGAACAATGAGCACAAAAACTCAAAGAACCAAAAGCTCAAAGAAGCCTATAGTCAAGTCTTGCCTAACAATGATCACAAGTTTTGCATGAACTAACTTCAATGCTAAAGAAGAAATTATGGTACAACCTACAATATCCTTCTAGAAGTCAAACTTCATAATATAAAGCTAATGAAAAGCATATTTGCATCAATCTAAAAGCCAAGCACAATGAAGCTATGCTCAATAAGTGATCACTAAACGATCCTCCATGAATCCATCTATAACAAGACGTAACTTACTTCATAGCAAGTACAAAAAGAATCACCAATGATCAATATATCCCAACTCAAATCTAACAAGGATTCAAATATTTTAATATCGATCACTAACTCTTTCGCTTGTAGAGTTAGCGTCATCAATGACTAAATCACTTTTTAAGGAAAAGCTCAAAGCTCAACCCCTACTAAACAATCTTGTCTAGAACACAACTAACTCAAACTTGCTACTCAGTTCATTTGAATGTCAACATAGTTGCTAACTAGCAAATGCATGAATGCCAATAACACAAAGCTTTAGCCAAATCATGAACACTATCTTTTTCAAGACTAATGAAACTCAATATCAATTCTAAGGAAAGACATCTCATTTCACTTGAATCTCAATATCAACAATGTCAACCACAAAGCATCACTTCAACGTTATCAACACTAGGACAAAGCTAGAAGAAAGCAAAAGTGAATCACCACTCAAAACTCTCTTGCAACCAAGCTAACCAAAGTCGAAGATACTATTCCTAGTATCTAAGACTAATCCTTCAGCAAAACTCAGTTACAGATAACACTTCATCAAAGAGTGATTCACCACGTCCAAGACTCAATGAAATCCAACACTACAGACTAAATACAACCAAATGATATCGACAAAGATAGAATTGACATGCCAATATGGAAAACCTATGCAAGCCATGACACGATCCTCCGCAATACCATCCAGTAAAGCAAGCCCATCACTGCTAAATCATCATCAAGTAAAGCAAGTGTCATATTCCTTAACAAAGTCTACCAGCAACCACTAGTCACAAAACAACCAATAATCACTCTTTAACTTGCCTTCACAAGACCTAACACTAACTCACATCATCGAGTCATATACTTAACCAATATGAACATAATACCCCAGGTATGAGATAAAGGTTCATGGACAAGCATAAACTAAATGACCACTCGAATCCAACTCAACCGCAATAAGTTCACCAACACATCTAATCAATAGCTCTGAGCATGCTTTGAAGAGGCTAGCTATGCATGATCAACACTTAACAAAAACTAAAGTGAAGACCATGAGATGAACTCATATCGGTACACAACCTCCTCATAAACAAAGCTATAGTACGGGTACCAACATCTCAACAGTAAACAATTAAGTTGAACATCACTATCCTTAGCCAAGGCACAGAGCCACCAAGACTAAATCAGGATCAGTGAGAGCTCACTACTCTTATAGAGTCTAATAAAATGCAAGATGCAACCTGTCACCAAACATAATACTACAGAAGAAAGGCATAAGGGTCACCCTTCTTAGAAAAGTGCAACGGCCACTTTTTTACACCAACTCCAAACTCTATCCAACTCAATTGATTTAGCCTTAAAAGTCAGCATCCTTTTTGAGCCGCATCATACAAACTACATACTAAGGTCTAAGCTAATTGAAGTCAACTCTAACCCCTTCACTAGTTTGTATTAGCTTACGAAA